CTCATTTTCTATATATGAACAGAATGTGAGTGAGCGATGAATAAATCAACAGTTTTAAAGGGAAGAATGAATACATTCTAAACATGTATTCATCTGTTGAGAGAACATTAAACTATATGAAGAAGAAACTGATAGAACTATAAGGAAAAATAGACAAATACATATTTATATTTGGAAATTTCAACATTTCTCTTTCAGAAACTGGTTAAACAGTAGACAGAAAATCAGTAAAGGTATAAAGGCCTGATCAACGCTATCAAATAAGTAGACCTAATTGAAATTTGTAAAATACCCACACAACAACAGTTAATTATGCATTTTTTTTAAGTGCACATTCTTCAAGACTGGCTATATCCTGGGTGATAAAAAAAAAAATTACAGTAAAATTAAGATGACTGCAATTATGCAAAATATTTTGTTTATGCCTAACAAAATGAAACTAGAAATCAATAACAGAAGATATGAAAGATAAAAATATAATTTACCAGGCCAGCAGGTGGTGTGGTGGTTAAGGCGCTGGACTCCCACATGGGTGACCGTGGTTTGAGTCCTAGTTCTGGCAGCATGCTTTCTCGCTTTCTCCCTCTCTCTCTTTCTCTCTCTCTCTGGTCAAATGAAAAAATAATAATAAGTGTAATTAATAAAATTAAATAATTCTTCCAAAGCAAATACAACATCAAAATTTGTGGGATCAACTTAACAGTGCTATGAGGGAAACTTGTAACATGAGATGTAATATTAAAAGAAGAAAGGTCTCAAATCAATAATCTAAGCTTTCAACATAAGCAACTAGAAAACAAAGACCAAATTAAGCCCAAGGTAAGGAAAACCAAGGAAAGAATAAAGATAAGAGCAAAAATAAATGAAATAAAAAGCAGACAAATAGGAAAAATAAGCTAAATAGAAACCAGATTCTTTGAAATAAAAGTAATAAAATTTAAAAGCCTCTAACCAGACTGACTAGAAAAAAAGAAGGTACAAATGGCCAATATAAGGAATGAAAATAGGAGCATTACTAGAATTCCTTGTGACCCTAAAAAGATAATTAAGGAATATTATTAACAATTCTATCAGTATATTCAACAACCAAGATGAAATGGATATAAACAAACAACCTTAAAATATCACCAGTAATTCCACTTGTAGAAATCTGCATTAAATCAATAAAAATATGGACAAATCTTTTTGTACCAAGATGTTTATCAGATGATTGCTTATAATAGGAAAAAAAAAACCCTGAAATTAAACATAAGTTTTACAATAAATAAATAAAATAAACTGTGATTTAGTATAATAATAGTGATGATGACAGAAAAAAATTCTCATATATATTATTTCATGAGTTAAGCTAGGACATAAGATTGTCAATAAATGGTGATCTCAGTGTAAAATGTATTTATAAATAAAATCTACAAAAGGTGTACCTTTAAATAAGCTTTACTTATTTTGTTGGATTATTTGCTTTCTTCTTAATTTTCAAATTTCTTCAAATTTGTTTTCAAATTTGTTAAGAATTAAATATGTCAGTGCCATATTTTAGCTGCTATATGCCAAAAGCTTGTTTTTATCAATAATATAAATTGTTCTTTTCCTGTAAACAAAAAAAGATATAATCAGTGTTTTGATGCCTGTTGATTTTGTTTAAGAAATTTTAAATGGTGTGTTTCAGTATTTAAATATCTTTGTGCATGTCATCATTCCTCTGATAAGCACGTTTTGATGTCATCTTGTTTTAGCAAGATGCCCAAACCAGCGTTTCTATGCCATCCCCTCTCTGGCTTTCTCAGTTCAGGTATCAGTAGGCAAAATGTAGTTTGCTTTCCTTTATTTTCTCATTTTTTTATTGGCCCATAAATATCAAAGCATCTTTTAGTGGGAAACCATTTATAGACTTGTCTCTTTCATGCTTCATATCGAAAACATGATTCAGTGGAGATTTTTAGCATTGGTTGAGATCAAAACCCTCACTCTCATTTATGTCTTTCCACTCCACCCAAACCTGTAGGATTTCACATCTGAACTACAAGCATAGCTATCTGGGACATGAGAGATTCTGCAGTGAACGACTTCCAGTTTCTTATGAAATCTCCATCATTAGTGAGACTTAAACATCACACAGTTAAAAACCTTAGGGTCTTAGTTGTAAATAGACTTAAACTTCCTTTCGGTACATGAAGGGTAATGATCTTGAATCATCTGAGGATTATGTCCACGTCTTTAACTCCGAATAAATGGACCTTTTAGAAGTATATGTGTAACCTTTCTTTTTGGCTTTTCTTTTGCACTTACATACAATGTATGTGACAAATAAGTAAGTTATACTTGCTATGGAGAATGACAACTTATTCATCAGATTGTCATGTTACATGGGAGCCTACTATATGTGGGGACAATGTTTTGAGGAATCTTTTGGGGCCCCTTACTCCTCAGTTTCATGTAAAATCTTTGGAAACATTATTGATCAACCCTCCCCCTCTCTAGAGCTCAGTTATCCTCATGTACAGTCTTTTAGTATTCCCGTTTCAGCTTGTACAGATTCATTCTCCACGCAGAGGCCCATGTAATTGTTGCAAAATATCCTTAAAGTCCTCAATTGCCTTTTTATTGTACTTTTAAAAATCTCAAATGCCAAACATGATCTCTGCCAACCTCACTGTAACCATCTCTGCTAGGCTCTCTGTGCGAAAACCCTGAGCCTTCCTTCTCTTCTTCAGACACACCAAACTCAGTTTCACCTCAGCACTCACACTTCCCCCATCTTCATTCTTACCCTTACCTTTCATTCCCATCCCCTACCCATGTTTCACTTGAATCGTTGATTCACATTTGTCATTCAAATATTGTCTTAAATATCACCACCTAGAGGGGTCTTCTGTGAACCTAAAATCGAAATCTGGTTATCTTGTTATTTCCTGTTTTTATATTATATATCATAGTTTTGGGTTTGGGGAATTTTTTTTTTTCTTGCTAGAAGGCATGTGTGTTCAGTAGAGAGAGATACAGGGAGTAAGATATGAAGAAGCTACTCCCAAGGGAGTTTGATCACACCACAATCCCTTCTGCTCTATTCTCCTCTCAGAATTTTGGACACACATGCCTTATTTCTTTTTCAAGCCTCTGGATCTGGGATTCAAACGCACAGTCAGCCATGGGATCCAGCCATCTTAACTACTACACCATTGACTGGCTTATACTATTTTGTTTCTTTTTTAGACTATTTTTGCCATAGGGCACATGAACTCACCAGCGAAAGAGAGGCAGAGAGAAGGAACGCGAGAAATCACCCCACAGAGGAGATAGCCACACAGCAGTTCCTTTCCCTCAAATCTCCTCTCTGGATTTTGGGGCACACACACACAAGTACTTGATGTATTTTTCAACTCACCAGGTCTGAGACTTGAACTCCGGAATTGGTCATGTGATATGCAGCACCTTAACCACTATGGCACCTGCCCGCCCCAATAGTGCTTTTTAAATTTTCATTGCCAGAGACCACATGCACTCACTTGAGAGAGGGACACAGCAACCCCCAATTTGGCATGGTCACACTGCAATCCCTTTTCCATTTTTTGCATCCTGTTGGGGTTTTGAATGTGCACTCATATACTCCCAGAATGTTTTTCAGACTGTTCGGGCTGAGATTCAAACCACAGTCAGCCATGTGGAATCTGCCTCCCTTAACCACTAGGCAATGGGAACAGCCCTATCATAGTTTTTAATTATATTGTGTTTTGTGCAGTTTATAGATGTAATGCTTTTCTCACCTGTCCATAAGACATTATATCCCAATGTCTTACTTGCTTATTTTTTGTCCAGCACATAGTAGGTACCAAAAAAAAAATTGTTATTGAATGAACAAGTAAAATAATGGAATAAAAGTATAAAAAAATAACTAGAGGAGACTAGCAGATAGTGTAATGGTTTTGGACCCCCCACGTTCTTGACCATGGTTCGAGCCCCAGACCCAGTGGCTTAAAACTCACACAGGGTATGTGTGTGTGGATGCCCAAAATCCTGAGAGGAGAACAGAGGAGAAATGATTCTGATGTGACCATTCCACCCTGGTGGGTGATTTCTCACTTTCTGTCTTTCTGTCTTCCTCTCTGGCAAGTAAGTGTAAGCACCCTATAGCAAAAAATCTCTTTCCAAAACAAAAAGAAAAAAAAAAAAAAGAAAGGAAAAAAAGAAAATAAGTAGAAAGTGTTAATGAGGGAAAAATGAAGTTTTACTGTATAAAAGAGAAAGGTATATTAAAGAAATTATTTTTAACCTATTCAAATAGTAAAGTTATAATTTTCATTTTCACCTAAAATCAGGGAGAAGGACACATTTATACAATGCAAAGAAGAGGGACCTTTGCTATGTTTATTTTTTGGGTAGATATGGTAAATATTTGTTGAATTAGTAAGAGGATTAATATAATCATTATGAAAAGCAGTCTAGTGAAATGTATTTATAAAACATCTAATCATTGTTATTAACCCTATATTTTCCACTAAGAATTTGTCATAAGAAATAGTCCTAAATATGGAAAATATTGTATATTTAAAGATATTCTTCACAATGTTATTTATAGGAGTGAAGCACTGGAAATTACCCAATAGTTTATCACGTAAAATAATAGCTAAGTAAGTGAGTACATTCCATAGAGAGTATTTGTAACACATAGCTACAGGTTAGCATAATATAATGACTTACATTCTTATAATATAAAAGTAAAGAAAGAATATGAAGTTTTATAATTGTTTATAACTTTTATCATAGTAGGGGAAAAAAGACTAGAAAGAAATACATCATGCTATGTCAACTGGTCCGTCCTTTCTTTTTCTTATTCCTTTTGATATGCATATATTTCATTTTTAGCAGGGATTATAATTATACTAAATTGTGCATATATAATATAGTTTTTATTGAGGTTGGATATCTGTTACAATACACTTAATGAGTCCTAGTCCTTACATTTTGCAATAATTGAACTGAAACGCTGTGTTCTTTCTTAGGATGACAGGACCTTTGCTGAAGGTTCTCATGCTTTCGTGTTAGATCACTCATCATCTTGGCAGGATCATAGTCGCTTCCTGTCTAGTCCACGATTTTCACACTTGAACTGTAAGTAATGTCCTGTACCAATTTGAAAATTGAATTTAAGAAAATGGAACTCATGGAAAAATTAAAGGCCAACACGTGATAGTAGTGTTCATGTTATAAATTTAAGAAAACCTTTATCATGAATAATAAAAATAATGTTCCCTAAGTACATTCATAACATTAACCAACTTACTGAAAAGTATCTCGTACCCCTTCTCTTTAGACCTTATCTTGTTTAGAAAAACCTAAATCATCCAAAATAGAAGTCTTAACTGAGCAAGTGTTTTGTTTGGAGATGGATAGTAACTGTGGAAATTATTTTATAATGAAATTGAAGCCATGAAAGAGTGGAACGTCTTTGTGTATTAACTGTTCAGAAATACATACTCTTGGTCCAGCCTCAGTGATGCATGCTGTGCTACTAAGATACTGCTCCACAGGCTGGGACCACCGGAGTTCTCAGTTCAAATCCTGGTCCAGTCTAAAGGTCTAGTGGGGTGGTGTGCACCTGTAGTTCCAGCGACTCAGGGAAGTTGAGGCAGGAAGCTTATATGCTTAAGACTGGCTTAGACAACATAGCTAGGGCTTGTCCAGAGTAAGAGCCAAGCATGGCAGCACAACGCCTATAGTCCTAGTTGGGTGGCTGAGGCAAATGGATAGTAACAGCAAGATTTTCTCTAAAAACAAAATAAACTATTCAAAGTAGTGTTCATTTTATGAGATTTCAAAGAGTAAGAATAGTCATACTATTACTTGTTAGATTTCACTCTGTGAATTCTCTGTATATGTTAATAAAATGTCACTATCAACATCATCAAGGTATGAGTCCATTGGTGATGATGCCTATCCCTTTCCCTTCTCTATTCTACTTGTTCTTCAAGTTTCAGCTTATATGTAATTCTATTTTTTTTTTTTTAGAGGATTTTGCTATAGGGCGTGTGCACTCACCAGAAAGACAGAGAGACAGAAAGCAAGAAATCATCCCCCAGGAGGAATGGCCACACCACAATCCCTTCTCCTTCATTCTCCTCTTGGGATCTTGGGCACGCACGTACACACGCTCAGCGTGAGTTTGAGCCACTGGGTCTGGGACTCGAACCACGGTCAACTACGTGGGAGTCCAGCGACATAGCCATTATACCAACTGCTGGTCCTTGTATGTAATTCTTTAAGGAAACCTCTGGAAGGTGGTTTTAAATGGGATCTCTATTACGAGCACCTATAATGGGCTACAGTTTTCCTTTGAAACTTTCCTCAGAATAATTATAGAGTTACTTATTAGTTGAGTGACTTTTTACTTAATGATTCTTCCCTACACCAAGGAGAGTGAACACCACGAGAATAGAAAGCAATGCTGTTTTGTTCACCACTGTTTCTTCAGCATTCTACATACCACTTAAAATGTAATAAATGCTCAATTAATATTTAATTAGTTAGACGAAGAAGTTTATGAGTTAAGTCCACCATCATCTAACTATTGGGATTCAAATGTTATTTAATAGATTCTTATTTAAATATTTAACTCTTCAGTTTATCATGGGCCTAGAGGGTTGTACATTAAATTTGATAATTCTGTCATTTAAAATAACTAGATTGCTATAAGATAAAATATCAAAATAAGCCACAAGTAAATAGATCAAATCCAAAGTGATAACTCTCATTTTTGTTAATTCATATTCATGAATTCATTGAATTAATATTTATCAGTTTCTCATAAATGGTTTTGTTTTTGTTATATCATGATTATTTTCTTTCAGAAGCTAAGCATTTTTTCTTTCGTGTCCTAATCACTTTACCAAGTGATTTCGTATCTGCATAAGCCCTCTGTTATTCTAATCTGGCAGCTACCCTTTAATATAGATTATATCTCGAGTTGCCTATGGCACCTCAGAATCTGAAATACACATAGCCCCCAATTTTTATTTTCATATTAAACAATGCAAAAACTTCCCAAGTCTATTTAATATAAGTAAACAACAAAGAGAGAGAGCATTGACTAAGTACCAACAAACATACGAGTATCCATCCACGAAGACGCTCAAGAGCCTGAAAATAAACAGCACCATGATCTGATCATGGTGATTATTGTCCTGTTATTTTGTTTTGCCATATGACTTTCATGAGACTCCCAGAAAGGTCCCAGGAAGGAAGTAGCTGGAGGACATAAAGTGGAAAGCATTTAAGATTTTTAAAATTTTATTTAGTATTGTGATACGCAGTGAAAGAAACTGTATTCAGCTTTTTTCATACTAGCATTTAGTGACCAGTTGTTGTCATTTCTCTAATTAAAATGTATTCCTCAGGGGGCCAGCAGGTGGCATGGTACTTAAGGTGCTGGACTCCCACATGACCAACCGTGGTTTCAAGTCCCAGACCTGGTTGTTTGCTCTCTCTCTGTCTCTCTCTGTCTGGTCAAATTGAATAATAATAATAATAAATTTAATTTAATTCAGTTCTTTAAAATGATGTATTCTCCACATGCAGCTATGGGTCTCTATATAAATATACTAGCTTAAAAGAAAAGAAAGTTAAATAAGAATAGGAAAAAATGTCATTGGGAACATAATTTGAATAAGAAAACACTTGTGCAATTTTTTTTTTTTTTTTTTTTGCTATAGGGCGTGTGCGCTCGCCAGACAGAGAGAGACATAGAGACAGAAAGCGAGAAATCACCCCCCAGGGGGTATGGTCACGCCGCAGTCCCTTCTCCTCCATTCTCCTCTCGGGATCTTGGGCACGCACGCACATGTGCCCGGCGTGAGTTTTAAGCCACCGGGTCTGGGACGCAAACCGCGGTCGACTATGTGGGAGTCCAGCGACATAGCCATTACGCTAACTGCTGGTTCCCAACACTTGTGAAATTTTATGTTGTAAAATTTGACTGAAAAATTATAGTTTAAAAGTAAAATCCTTGGGACCAGCAGTTAGTGTAATGGCTATGTTGTTGGAATCCCATGTAGTTGACCGCAGTTTGCATCCCGGACCCGGTGGCTTAAAACTCACGCCGGGCACGTGTGCATGTGTACCCAAGATCCTGAGAGGAGAACGGAGAAGGGATTGTGGCATGGCCATCCCCCCAGGAGGTGATTTCTCGCTTTCTGTCTCTCTGTCTCTCTCTCTGTCTGGCGAGTGCACGCCCTATAGCAAAAATCTCTCCCCCCCAAAAAAGTAAAACTCTTTATAAACTAATTTATTAATAAATTGTGTAATTAATTTATTGATCACTTCATAGCTTAATGTTTTATTGCTTTCTTGTTGACAGATTTGTTTTATGATTTTCCTCCCATGCATGTCCCCATTTTCAAGAATACTTTTAAACATTTAATCTTATCTACTTCATCATTAATTTTAGTGATTGAATTAAATTTATTTCTATATAATCGTATTTATTCTTGTTTGATTTTCTGCTAATTTTTTTTGTCTTTAATACTGTGGTATTTTAGAAGTACAAAAGTTAGGATCATGCTGAATACTTCCCCACTTTTGTAGCACAAACAATTCAGTTTAGTTATAGAAATAGTCTGTAATTTCTTTTTAATCTCCTTTTAAGCCTTCAAAACTGAAAAGAACTGTCAGGACCACCAAACAGCAAATGGGTAATACAGGGAATGGAGAATGTTTTAAAAACTCTTATTAATACCATCACATAAGAGAAAATATTATATTCATTAGAATAAGATGATGTGAAAAATTAACATGGGAAAAGAGGTATTAGAATCTTAAAATGTGATTGCCATAAAGAAGAACGAAAACTAGAACAATGGAAAACTAAGCTGAGAGATCCACAAAGAAAGCAGATGAGGGGTTGGCAGGTGGCCTGATGGTTGAGTGCGCTGGACTTCCACATGACCAACCGCAGTTTGAGTCCCAGACTTGGTGACTTGCTCTCTCACTTTCCCTCTCTCTAGCTTTGTCCCTCTCTGGTCAAATTTTTAAAAAAGTAAATAAATAAATAAAGTTAAATAAAACAATTATTTTAAAAAAGAAGTAGATGAAAAAGAAAAAATAATGAGATAATAGGAAAGAAAAGATTTTTAGAAAATCAATTCAAAAGGAACAATAATATATGATTAATGGAGTCTTGAGAGAACAAAGAAAACAGAGCAGCCAGCAGTGACCACATTAAAAGAGACACCCAGTGAGTACCCATCTTACCCTGTTATCCTGAGATTTTTCTTTGCTTCTCTTGGTGATATCCATGTTTCTCAGATCCTATACCTTCATATTTCTTATTTCACTCCTTTCATTGGTGGAAGTTTATCAAAGAAAGGGAGGTAAATGTTTCCAGTCTTTATATTCCTGAAAATTTATTTCTTTCACTTATACTTGATTTTTCTTCTGATAAATCATTAAAAAATTAGTCCCAGACTTGGTGACTTGCTCTCTCACTTTCCCTCTCTCTAGCTTTGTCCCTCTCTGGTCAAATTTTTAAAAAAGTAAATAAATAAATAAAGTTAAATAAAACAATTATTTTAAAAAAGAAGTAGATGAAAAAGAAAAAATAATGAGATAATAGGAAAGAAAAGATTTTTAGAAAATCAATTCAAAAGGAACAATAATATATGATTAATGGAGTCTTGAGAGAACAAAGAAAACAGAGCAGCCAGCAGTGACCACATTAAAAGAGACACCCAGTGAGTACCCATCTTACCCTGTTATCCTGAGATTTTTCTTTGCTTCTCTTGGTGATATCCATGTTTCTCAGATCCTATACCTTCATATTTCTTATTTCACTCCTTTCATTGGTGGAAGTTTATCAAAGAAAGGGAGGTAAATGTTTCCAGTCTTTATATTCCTGAAAATTTATTTCTTTCACTTATACTTGATTTTTCTTCTGATAAATCATTAAAAAATTATCTTCCAAAACCTAGTGTCATTGGAGAGTCATATACATACACACACACACACACACACACACACACACACACAAAGATACTTCAAAAAGTACATGTAAAGTGGAATCAAAGTACAAATTTGTTTTGGTGTCAAAAAAATGTGAAATACTTGAACAGTTTTTATAATATGTATTTTCAATGAACTTTTTGAAGACTATTTTTTCTTTTCTTTTTTTTTTTCCTTCTCTTTTGATTCTTATTATTTGAAGTCATCTTCGCCGGTCCTCCTTTTACTGTACCACATCCTTTCCATTTCTGACACCAGGAACTTTTACGATCTGCCCTTTAACTCATCAGTGAGTTTGTGATGCTATGCCTCAGTGTGGGTCTTGTTTTATTCATCCTTCTAGCTACTTGTTGAGTGAACCCTTTGAATTTAGACATTCATTCTTCAGTTCTCCCATACTGAAGGACATTAGTAGATACTCCATTAAGAGAATATTTAGGAAGCAAACAAACCAAAAGAATCTAATACAGTTGAGCACTTGAAAAAAAAAATATGTCCGAATGGGCGTATAGTAGATCTAATTGAGTAATTAGAAGCAATTAAGATGATCAGAGAAAATGAAAGAAAAATAAAATGAAAACATGGCCAATTAATAAACTCAGGAAAAAGATGAACGAGAAAAGAAGCATTGTCTTACCTATTAGGTTTGTGTGAGTTTTATTTTCATAGTTTTAATAACACTCACTATTGATATAACTGAAAGTTCAGATGTAACTATATTGGGGGGATGGTGTGAGAAGTGGGTGGGTGTGGATAATGTCTAAAAATGATAAACCAGAAAATGTAATACAAGTTCTTTTTTTGTGTTTTTTTTTTTTCACAAAAATGAAGTAAATGTGGAAAATAAAGCTAAAAGAGTTGGTTGTGGTCGACTCTGGGGAGTAGGACTATGGGATCAGAAGGAGTAGGGCAAGTGACTCCTACTGTCCTGTTACCCTTTTTCACTCTTTGATATGTACACTTTGGCTAAAAGTGATTCTTATGAAGGTAAGTGCTACTAAGAACATTCCAGCTTTTAATGTCTGATGACAAATGTCTTTTCTTGTGAACTTCTCTATGGAACATGAAAGCTAGGATTGGCATGCAGAACAGGCTAGACCTATGTAGAGACTTGGGGAATAGAAAATTGTAGCTTTCTAGACAGATGTGAGTTTCTGGGCCTACAGGCAGGCACCTTCCTACTTACGTTGGAATTTGTGCTGCATGAAGCCCTTTTGTCTAAGCTTGAGACACTGAGGCCTTCATTCCGCTGACTGAGATGCCCTGACAGACTGTGACCAAATGAAAGCGTAGAATCACTGACCATGGAAAAAAACAAAGGAAATGGGAAAATACTGCATAATTTGTGGTCTCTGAAATGATCCAGCATTAATGAAAGTTTGTTTTAAGAAGTAATTTATGTCAGCTTTGTGTAGTTCAGGTCAATTCAAAAGAAGGTAGATTCCTTCTGCCAGGAAGAAGGGAAGAAATGTATAAATTGTAAGTTTATATTACCATTGGAAATAGGAACACAGAAATCCATTATTTAAAGCTATGATCACTACCAAATTTATCCTGGCTGGCTAGAAGTTATGGCCCTGAGTCAGGACACTCTTTTAGAAGACTTGAATTCCATTACCTTTAGCCTGTAGACAGTGGGGGCTTAGTAAGAGAGAGTCATAATGTCAGCTTTTGAAACTGTCATTTTTACTTTTTATAAGTAGCAACTGACCACTAGTCTCCATGTATAGCTCCTTTTAGACGAAAAGATCACAACTTCAGAACAGGGCCTTCATTCCTAGGACCTAGACCAGACTAAAATCCACGGAGGTCTGTAGCAATATGATGATTTCTAGAAACCTGCAGTCCTTTACAACTAAAATGTGTGATCTTTGTAGAGCTGGTATCCCCAAGTCAGGTTTTTAAAATAAATGCAGATTGCAGATTTTCTAAAAATCTAAAATTGTTCTTAAAAATAACATTTTTAAGTAAGAAAAAAAAAGGACTGTCATTTTTCATGGGGGAAAATGTAATCTACGAAGTATTATATGACTTTGGAAGTGAATCACGCATATTATTTTAATTTGATATTCTTAGAAAAGCACATCAGTCAAGGTTGCTTTAAAAACCTATTTCACTTCCTTACCTTAGTTTAGATTGCTATAAAAAGAAAAGTTAGTATTCTCAATTTATGTTTTGAAGTGCTGTCAGTGGGAAGTTAAGTCCCTTGGATCCCAAATAATTTATCCACAGCAAGAATAGCATACTGTTCTCACTTCTGTGTTGTACTGCAAGGTCTACCTGGCTAACTCTGAATAAACACTTCATATGTAGTCTGTCCGACAACTTCTCAAAAAATGCCAAAAATGTATGGCAAATAAAAAATGTTGAGGTACTGATAAAGTAAGAAAATTGTTTCTTGTCCATTCAAAGACATGTTTATTCCGCGAAAGATACTGTCTTTCTTATTTTGCAGTTGTTCGGAATGACTTTCAGGTATTTTTCACTGACCAATTAAATGCCAGATACCTTTAAATGACTGAGTTCTGATTATTGCAGTTTGACAAATTACTCTCTAGATGCTGTCTAGAAAGCAGCTAAAAAATTTCCAATTGACTGTCTCTTAAAAATCTAGTAAGTATATTCACTTGTTCAACCAATATTTACTGAGAGGCTATGCATAGGCTGTGTACACTTCTAGGGGAGACAGGAGTAAACAAGACAGACAAGGTCACCTTGTCTTATGGAGAAACAGGTAATAAGCAAGTAAACAAAAAATTTAAAATTCACGATTGGTGCTGTGAAGGTAAAATGATAGAGTACCTGGAACAGGACCGCTACTTTATATTGATGATTGGGGGGTGCCTCCCTGAGGAGGCTGCAATTGAGCTGAAGCCTGAATGGCTTGCAAGAAGACTCAGCTGATTTGAAACTGGGTGGGAATGTCTTTCTAGATAGCAGGAGTAAAAAGTGCCAAGACTCTGAGGAAGAGAGGACATGGTCTTCTAGAGAGAAAATAGTGAACAAGTGTGGAGAAAAAGACAGAGCCAAAGAAAAACAGTCAGATGTTTGGATTTTATGCTAAGTTTATGGCAAAATTTATGCCAATAGAAATGTTGAGGTACTGATAAAGTAAAAAATTATTTCTTGTCCATTAAAAGACATGTTTATTCCATGAAAGGATATTCTTTCTGTCTTATTTCACAGTTGTTTGGTATGACTATATTTCAGGTATTTTTCACTGACCAGTTAAGTGGCAGATACTTTTAAATAACTGAGTTCTGATTATTGTCGTTAGAGACCATTAGAGTGGGGATGAGGGATTAGACAAGAGATTGACATAATCTGATTTACTTTTTAGAAATAATTCTGGTAGTGGCATGGAGAAAGAATGGTAAAGGAGCAAGATGAAAACTGGAGAGAGAAAATGATAACCTAGGCTGGGGTGTGGGAAATGGAGAGAGTGTGAAACAGAAGGACTCAGGTGAATGGGGGAGGTAGAATCATGAGAACTTACTATTTAACTGGTTTGGTAGGATCAGGCAGGACGAAAGAAGAGAGCAACCATTGTTGGAAACTTGGAGGATAGGTCCGTAGTTTCCTAATGGAGAAGAATAAGGGATGAGCAGGCATCGGAGAGTTGAAATCAGGAGGGAAGATTTCACAGAGAGAGTTGGATATAGGTGTCTAGTGTTCAAAAGAGCAGAAAGAAGTAGTAGACAGACAACGAGCCCTGGTTCCAGATCTACTTTCAGCAGACTTTAAGGATGTAGCCAGGATTCCATTCTGTAAAAAGGGGATGCTTATGATTTCTCCCTTTAAACTTCTGGGAGCGGGGGGTGGGGAGTTATATCACTGGTCTCTGATGAAGCACATACAGTTTCCATTGTCAGAGACTCTTCGAATTAAGAACAGTTTTTAAATCATACAAATATGTTTTTAAAATGCAGTAAACTGATTATGTAAGATCTTACACTGAAGGTTTAAGCCCATGTAAGATTCAATGATGGAAAACTAGGTCGAATACCATAATTAATTAACTATCTTTCTCAAAGTTAATTGTTTAGCCCAGTTTTTATATTCACCTAGGTTTATTTTTGTCTTTCCTCTTACCTTGCCAGCATTTACCAAAAGAACTGTTGCTCCAGATTCAGCTTCAATCAAAGGAGATGCCGCAAGTTTACCCATGAATGGAACAAGTCCACAATCTAAAAAGGAAGAATACGAGAATAAACAAAGCAAAATGTAATGAATTACTTTACAGGAGTGTTTTTTACTAGCAGATCTATCCTCACTGCAATTTGGCCCAATTATCTTACAGACATACCTGCAGCTTCTCTTCCAAATTGCCAAATATTGACTCAAGTAACAGTAGAGTTGGTCTTTGTAAATGATTAAGTTATACCCATCTAAATAGTATCAGGTATGACATGCAGCTAACACTGGCAGCTGATACCAGCAAAGAAAAAGTGATGTTTTTCACTTTTCACTTTCCTTTTTCCACTGTGATCAGTCATGTTTCTGGACTAAAATTTAGATTTATAACTGAGGCCTTTCAAAAATTACTGACTGAAGGGGAAGAAAATGAGTTTACCTCAAAGCAAAAGTTGCCAGCACTTTAGATTCAGGGAGCATTTATATACAACTGATTTTTCAAAAAATGCGTTCTTCCTAATAAATGACCATGTGTTATAACATGTCATGGAGATACGCACATATCATATTGGACAGTCTACTTTGTGAATGCTCAGAATTGTTAGATCCATCATCTCAGGAGTCTGTTACTACATACAGTATCCTAAAGTTTCCAATCATCCATTTTTAATAGCAATAAACAATTTATGTGTGGTATCTGAATGGCAGAGAACTGAATTATGAAGAATTCATAGCACAATTTATTTATTTGTCTTTTTGTGGCCAAATATTTCACTGTGATCACTTCAGTCATATCCTGAACCATTTTTGGTTTACTGTACCAAAATCACACCACCAAACTTCTGTGTCTATTAGATTTAGTCTGTAAGAATTTTTGTATAATTTGGTACAATTTCAGCATCTCAGCTTTTCTCAACGTCAAAGTGTATTTTAGAACTCTCTTTCCATACAGATCTACCAGTGAAGAAAGACTTATATTAAATGCTAGGTAATGGAAAACACCTAGGAACTGAATCCTGTCGGGTTGTGGTGGAAAGATTCTACCCAGGGACAAGGACAATAAAGTCATACCTTTGTAATGTGCATTATATCTTGTGTTTGTTAAAGTAGACTTCCTTGTTAGATTTCTCACATTTAGTAAAAATGCCTTTATTTCCTCTGAATATGTGTTTTCCTAGATTACCACATTCAAAGGCATGGAAGAAGAAATGACACTCTCTTTCATGAACTTAAATACAGTTCTTTCTATAGAATGTGGAGATAGTTTATGTCAAAAAAGTACATAACATAAACTACATAACCTCTGAGAATACAACCATTATTATTTATTCATCCTAAAAACCTTTTAATGAGTTCCTACTATATGCAAGTCATTGTGCTAGGAGGAAAGAAGTACAAAAACAGGTGTACATGTCTCAAAGTTTCTTTGACATTAGGAATTATATTTAAAATGGGGGAAATGTGTTCAAGCTAGCTGGAGAAGTTCTGGATCAGACCACATTGAACAGGTTTTGTTTTATTTAATCTAATCTCAGGGTTGTAACTCTGCTATATAATATCTAGTGTATTAGGGAGAAAGATGACCAGAAGAATCGAAATTGTAAGTGTGATAATGTGTATTCTGAGGTTTTAGTAGGAGTAGCCTTTTTTTTTTTTTGAGAGGTTTTTGCTATAGGACGTGTGCGCTTACCAGAAAAACAGAGACAGAAAGATAGAAAGCAAGAAATCATCCCCCAGGGGAAATGGCCTTGACGCAATCCCTTCTCCTCCTTTCTCCTTAGTTTAAGCCACTGGGTTCAGGACTTGAACCAAGGTCAACTACATGGGAGTCCAGCGACATAGCCATTACGCTAACTGCTGGTCCCAGTGAGAATAGCCCTTTTGAAGAAACATCTCACAGTCCTGGTCCGTATAATCTCTACCATCCTGTAGTAATCCGTAGGATATTGAGAAATTACCTCAGTATTTCTGCTGATGTTTTGAACAACACCGTAATATTTCATCCCCTTGGACCTATATAACTAACAGGGAACAAAGGGAAAAAATGAACAGGTTTTTTGTTTGTTTGTTTTTTATCTTAGGTATAAAGATTAAATGGCTTTTCCCTTTATGTATTAGTAGGGACTTCACACAGTCTATTCTGTTTAATAAGAAATGATCTAAACTAGTATTAGCACATATACGGTCATTAAAACAAACAAACAAACAAACAAAACTATACAGTCCAGTAGGCCTGAAAGTTTAAGGTGATTCACATTATTTACTTGAAAAATCTTTGAAAACATATTAGCTTATTTTATAACAGAATGGAGAGGAATCCTGTGAAAGGCCTTTTTAAATCTGAAAAAATAAATAAATAAATAAGCCATTATATTATTGAATGCCTTCTGCTACTGTTGGATGAATGAAGGTGTCTGACTTTAAATATGGAACACACAGAACTTCAAAGGCAAAGTCAACTTTTGTGAGCAACAATTTGGTCAAAATACTTTGGCCCTTGTTTATCTGGAATGAATTCCAAGGACCTGTCTCCTCTGAGGATTTTTCCTATCTTTTACAGTAACCATAAGCTTGAGTTGGAAATCAAAAGGAATGCTAAGGAAACACTAATAGCTTGATTTGTACATTTCAAAGCCAGCAACTGTTTTTCCTTTACTCACCCCTTTGGCAGGGTAGCCTCAATTACGTGTGATATTAGCCCCAGTTGAGTTGTAGCTGATCAGCCATATTGCTTGTAGCTCTGGGACATTGGAATGGATAAACCTTATTCTGCAATGAGCTTGGTCCAAGACTTAATTTGAAGATTGACCTTTTTGGTTTAAAGATTTTGAGTCTCCTGGCCATTTTTTCCCCCAAGCACACTAAACTTCCATTGAAGTTGTTTGAAGGCCACAGAAGGGAGAAACACAGCTGGGAGAAATCTGGCTTGATGTTTTTCCCATTGGCTAAGGTCATATTATTTCCTTGACTAGTGTCTAACTGGAAGGTTGAAAACCAGTTGGTTATATAACACTTTATGCACCCAGTTTCTCACAACCATTTTTTTCTTATTGTTTAACTACATATTTTTACAAATAAAGAGTAAGCCTGTAACTGAATAAAATAGTACAGTATGACCATAGCACTTTAATATAAAGGTTTCATGTATACAAAGTACCTACCTATTTAACTAAGAAAACAATAAGCCTTTTTTATTTTTTCATTTTTCTCCTTTCAGCTGTGGTAAATGCATTTTTCCATTTGAGTCTCAGCTCAGTGGTATGCAGAATATATTTAGAGTTACAGTAATTGTTATATTTTCTCTATCTAATCTGTATTGAATTTTATAGTTAAATAACAAATAGTTTTTAAATGGAACCAAATTCTCACATACAATGAGATGGTATATTTACTTAGCAAGCCCGTTTTTAGGAAGGGGTAAATATTTCAGATTGTTTTACTCAGAATTTGTGCTTATTATAAATGCAACTATGCATCATATGGTAGCCAAGAATGTGAGTGATCTTTGAGTAAATTACTCCTTTTCCAAGATTCTTGCCCCCCAACAAACTGTCCCAGTATTTTCTCTTAATTTAAAACAAAACAAAACAGCAAATTTGTGATTTTCATGGCCTTCAAATGAGGAAGCTGTTCTCACGAAAGCATCTGGTTTTCTTGGATCAAAACAGTCATGAACCTTAAGCTGGAAAGTAAATTTGGGAAAGTTTGTATATAAAAGCATTTCATGCACCAAAGTATGATATAAAAATAGTTACATCTTTCAACTTCTAAATTTTCAAATGTTTAGCAATAGAAACGTATCAGCTTATTCCTATTCGAGAAAAGAAATTTAAACCATGAAAGATTCCATTCAGTTCATGTCCATACAAAACATGACACATCTAATTTAAGGCTAGGAGAAATGCTTATATCTAGAAGCAGTACTTTAGATTCCAAGCTCCCAAACAAATTTCAGAAAAGTCACCCCTTGCTTTTAAGTAGTAACAAAGCAAACCAATGTGTTCCACTCGGGTAAAACCAGCCCCACCTTCAAGTTCTAACCTCTTCTGCCCCCATCTTGGTTTCTCCTGCTATTTCTATGCTTGTGTCCACATTCTACCTAAATCCAAGCCCAACATAAGGCAGTACTCTTAGTATTCTACCAGGCCAGCCCCTAAATGTTGACCTCTGAGTCAGCCCATGTTGAGGGGGCAGGCTAAGACTTTACAGCACCTGCATTTTTTTCAGGACCAGCTAATTAGAAAAGGATTTTCATGTCACATGCTTTTGGCTACTCTTATGGTCAAAACCCTGGGAATACTTGTGGGGCTGGGTGTCTTTTCTTCCCTAACACAGCTTGAGTCTAACATGGATGCAAAGCCCTGTGACAGTTGTGGAGGTGAACTGACTCACCTTGCTCTGAGTAGGAAAATTCTGGATTTCTAAACATAGTAAGTAACACATTAGTTCCCTCTTGGGAGGATAGTTGAAAATACACACGCGCACACACACACACACACACACACACACACACATTTACATGTATACA